TGACAGATGTGACAGTGTAGTTTTTGTTTACATTTCCTAATTATATAACTATAACAAATATGCTTAAATTAATTTTAATATATCAATGGTTTAATAAAGCAATGGTTTGCATGAATGATGTAATACCGTTTGTCATGCGCCTTTAGTAACAATTCCACAAATTATTTGACAGTGCGTAGTGCTAATACATGACAAGTCTGATTAATTGTTAACCATATGTTAGCTTGTTTCAACATTATATTATTTATTTTTCAATGCTGTTGCACTCAATTTACTACTGCTAAAATAAAATGCAACACCTTGTTGTCAGAGAAGACAATGCTTTATTACAGAACAAACTAAAACACAAGCATTACACCAAATTGTAATACAAAGAAGGTAAGCTAGAGTGAAATACATGTAGAACAAAAGGCAAATTACAGGAAAGTACGGTAAAGCGAAAACTGTCACATAAATTATAGAATAAGGTAAATATTTGGTGGGTGAGGATAATTTATGTTGTGTAAAAACAGAATTGTGACTGACGAGAGCATGGAGGAAACAACAAAATGGCTGACTGATGTTGAATAAGCCTGCTGGGGGTGCTGTACAAGAAAACACAAGATAAAAATAAACTGAACTCTAGGGGACACCTGCTCTAGGAAGTCATAACAGATCTGTAATAACAGATCATTTATTACAGAATGTTCAATTTTATTTTTCGATGTCAAAGTCTTTAAATTACATGAAACGATTAATGACTTCTACACAATCAATCAATAACCAATGAGAGTAGCTTATACAAAAAAATGTTTTTATTAGTCCCTGTTCGGACGAAGTCCGAAAACGGGGACTTATAATTCGGTCTCCGTCTGTGCGTCCGTCCGGAGTCATATCTCAGAATCCCTTTGACCGATTCCGTTCATTCTTTGCATGTGCCTAGTACTTTATGTGGGACATATGCACGCAGTGGTTTACCGATTCGATTCAAAATGGCCGACTGGCAGTAATCTTGTTTTTTGAAAATGTTGTATTTTGGACATGCTTTGTCAGTTTTCATTCAAACTTAGTACATAGATTATACATGTTAGGATACATGTCCATGACGATTTATTTCACAATTGGATCCAAGATGGCCGACTGGCAGCCATCTTGTTTTTTGAAAATGTAGTATTTTGGACATGCTTTGTCAGTTTTCATTCAAATTTAGTACATAGATCATACATGTTAGGATTTATGTCCCGACCGTCCGTGTGTCAGTCTGTCCAGAGTCATATTTCAGAATCCTGTGGACCGATTCCGTTCATTCTTTGCATGTGCCTAGTACCTTATGTAGGACATATGCATATGCACATGCAGTGGTTTAGTGATTAGATTCAAAATGGCCGACTGGCAGCCATCTTGTTTTTTGAAAATGTTGTATTTTTGACATGCTTTGTCAGTTGTCATTCAGACTTGGTACATAGATTATACATGTTAGGATACATGTCCATGACGATTTATTTCGCAATTGGATCAAAGATGATCGACTGGCAGGCATCTTGTGTTTTTTTTTATGTGGTATCTTGGACGTGCTCTGTCAGTTTTCATTCAAATTTGGCACATACATGTACTTTATACATGTTAGGATGCATGTCTATGACAATTTGTTTCAAAATCTGGTCAAGGATGGCCGATTCACAGCCATCTGAACTTTTGGCCTTACTACTATATTTCCACAATTTATGTACCATTTTCATCCGTATTTGGCACATACATCATACATATCAGTGTGTTTCATAATCAGATCAAAGATGGCTGAATAACGGCTGTTTTTATTTTTGGCCATATTACTACTACACTGAACACGTGTTTTGATGTAAATAAACAATCTGTTGTATACGCCACTTGGAACTCAAGTTTCAAGGACACGCTCGCGACAACCCTCCGCTTTAATATGATGAGCACAAAGAGAACTTTCATTATATTTTCAATGATCAAAATAACCATTTTTATTTATTTACCTTTTGGCAATATTTTTACTTGTTGTGTCATTGCAACATTCTTAATTCCACAAGTAATGTCCAAAATGCGAATTTGAACTAATTCGCATCAGTATTTCTCAAGTTATGGATGAAATCATTTTCTCTACATTTTTTGCTACAGATGTTATGATGCCATACATTGTAGGGAATCAAAATGGTGGACATTATTGTTTCAGTAAATCACCAAACAGAATACTCATTCATGTTCATGGCTGATCATCATTTTTTTTAATGTGGTATCTTGAACATGCTTTTTCGGTACATATATTATACATGTTTATAATGCTTCATTTTGTGATCAGATTTACGGTTTTTATTGATATTTAATGCATGTGTCGTAAATAGATACATGTTCATTTTGTGATTTGATTAAAGATTGCCATCTGGCTTGTAGGGATACATGATGATTCATTTTATGATCGAATCAAAGATGGTCTACTGCAGGTAATCTTTCTTTTTGGCCATACTGCTGTGTCTAATACCCATGTACTGTCCCATATTTTTGTCACATACATACCTGCCTTTGTTTATTCGTATGAATATCTTCCAAAAGATGTAGTCAATGTTCATAGTCAAAAAATCAAAATAATAAAAATAATTATAAATTTATCTAAAAAAAAAATGTGCATTGATTATTTGGGGTATAATGAGTGAGTCTGGTTGCAAAAAATATTATCTTGTACAACAGGTTATGATTATGTAAGCGAGTAAATTTAACTGGTGCTTGAAGTTGTATATTCTCAAGCGTATGTTGTACGTTAGTCACTTAGTAAATCTTTTGTTTCGATCTCATTAATTTCCAACCAATGAAAACATGGTTAGAAAGAGTGTCATTGGGTTACGCCATAACAAATAAGTTTTATTTGAGTTTGGATACAAAAATATGAAAAATAGAAATATCAAGTTTGTGACCATATAATAGATTGCAAATTTAGAAATCATTTAATAAATCTGATTTGTTGATACTAGATTATTTAGTCTATTATTCACTCTCAATTCATTCAGAAACAATTTACCTTGTCACATGACCAGTGATTTGCATATCCGATCTGATTGCATATATTATGCATGTAGCAATACATGTCCATAACAATACAATTTGTGATCAGATAAAAGGCAGACTTGCAGCCATCTTGCTTTTTGGTTATGTCACTTTATCTTAGGCATGAATAACATATCCCATAATTGCGACAGGGATTGTGTAATGACTTGTTTATTTTCAAAATGCTGTTGACTATTTTCACTTTTTCTATATGGTTAGCATGTAACTAGTTTGAGACAAAGGAGAGCTGATATAGTGAAAATACAAATGTATTTCAGTTTTAATTTAAAACAGGGGAATAAATAAAGATGAATACATGAGGGCGCTCTTGGACTCCATTGCTTGGGCAGTTTAGTACAAAATTTACAGAGCTGGTTTCTAATAGTAGTTTGGTAATGATACTGGGCTTTTGTAAATTTTATTACCAATTTATACCATAAACCATGAATTTTTTCAGCAGTTGTTAAAATTTGCAAACAAGACCTGTAACAACAATTAAAATCATTGTGAATTCTGGAATGGTGATGACTTTGAACTTGAAATCACAATAATAATCATGTCAGATAATATACTCAATCATGATTTTGTATCACACATAATTTTTAAATTCAACATGGTGACAAGCAACTCGCATTTTCTTTTCTCAACACATATATATGAAAGTTTATGCAGTCTATGTTGATTTTTAATGGCAGTTTAGTAAATGATACTGCATGCAATTTATGCTCCCAATAATAACATGACAATGACAAATACAAATACAAGAACTACACAAATCACTTGTGTATGTTTGTTGACAGACGTCACTACACTCATAATTTATCCAAATCAGCATTCTTGCCATTCCGGAACCTGATCTCAGTTTGTACCTAGATATATTTCATTTACATGTAATGTCATCTCATGCTTATGTACCGGTAAATACACATTATATACATGTACTAATCCTCCTATTTATGTACAATATGAAAGCATATGAGAACTGTGTTACATGTGTATGTTATTTTTTATTTATTTAATGTATTTATTTGAGCCAAGCTCTTGTCTACTCTGGCAATTGTATGTGCTTGTTTTAAATGCAGTTATCATTTATCAGTTATCATGCTGTAAAAATTAAAAACTTTTTTCACAGCGAAAAGTGTTTTGATTCATAACAAAATATATATTTATATATACCAGTAGTATATCTTAGTATGAGATTTTGATATTCAATCTATACACACCCAAGTCTTTACTGCATTTCTTTGTATTTTTTCAATAACAGAAGCTGTCTAAGAAATTATCTTTCATCCTTCTAGAATTTGTTATACACAGTATTCACCAAATTCCAGATAGTTTTTTTACACCCATGTGCAAAACACACAAGGGGAGTCTTTGCAGTTAGTGTGTATCAACCTGTTCCACTGATATCTCAAGAACCAATTGTTGGATTTTGATAAAACTTGATGCATACATTTGTATATGCTCTGGGCTAATGTGCAGATTTGATTAAGTTTTGGGTTAAATCCATGCCTATTAATTACCTGCATGTAGTTTGCATGACAATTAACTAATTTTTAGCTAAAGAACTACACATTCGATTTAGATGAAACTTGGTACATAGTTGTTCTGCGACATCGTGCAGACCTGATTAGTTTGGGTAAAAGCCATGCATATTAATTACCTAATTTGCATGATTAGTCAATTTTCAGCCTCTCTTTTGATATCTCAAGTACTAATCATCACATTACAATGAAACTTGGCACATAGATTCTCCAGGAAATGCACATACCTGATAAGTATTGGGTCAAAATCGGTGAATGATTAGTTTGTTTTTTTGGGAGTTGTTTGTAAGCTTTCTTTGATTTGAATTTGCACATCACATTTCTTCGCATTGCAGTACTCTGACTGAATATTTCTTTTTATTACATTGGTAACTTGTTTATTCATATCCTTCTGTGTTTTCCTTCTCATAGGGTCTCTGCACTTCCATCCTCGGACCAACATTACTAGATCTTGCTACTAATGTGGAAAAAGACTTTTCTGATGTCTCCTACGCAATCACAGTACGAAATACAGGCATGCTTGTTGGTTCATTGGTTGCTGGTTTTGCGTTTGATAGATTTGATCAACATTTGCTGATGGGTAGCTCATTGGCATTGATGGCTATCTTGGCAGTGTTGGTTCCTTGGTGTGGCAAGTACTGGAAGCTACTACTTACTATTTCTGTGTGGGGTATGTCGATGGGATTCCACAGCACAGGTAATAGTATTGTTTCAATGTTTTCTCTGCATTAATTAAATAACAACGCCATTTTTAAGTCTATGTACAACAGATATCTTATGACTGACTCTACAATATCAGATTTATTAAATATGTGTCCCGTAAAATCTGTATTGGATGCCTCATCTCTAATATAAGTTGCACCCATTTCTTTTGAACAATTTAGAACCAAATATTTATCATTTCTGATATGTGTAGATGCTCTAATGGAAGCCGCATTCCCTCTGTTGCATTGCACTATTTTAGAACCAGATTTTACAGGAGTAATTTTCATTTGTTCTGAACCTCTTATTTCAGTGGAAACATGCAACCAACCAAGTGTAATTAGATGCAATTTGATACTGATAAGATTAGCTTAGCTTGAAAGTTTAAAACAATTAAGTAATGAGAAATTAAATATAATAATAACCACTTTTATTTTTACCTTGTCTGTATGATTAAAACATGCGACTACATGTTCTAGTTACCATGCAAACACACCAGAGTATTCGCCATTAGTGTTTGATTTCATCAACAGTGAACACAGGTTTATAGTGGTCGAATAAATGAACCTTTGGCTGTTGAAGATGGTGAAAATTAAGTTAAAATGAAAAACAAATACAAATTAGAGATGAAAATAAGTGCAGAAGTGAAGACATTTGGATGAAATACAAAAATGGGGACAGATTTACGTCTTGACATGTCTGGCTAAAATATGAGGGTAAATTTTAATGACTTTTTATTGTTCATTTCTTACAGGTGGCAACATTGTGTGCATCAGCTTGTGGGGCAAGAGAACTGGACCATTTGTGCAAGCCTTGCATTTTAGTTTTGGATTAGGTGCATTTGTATCACCACTCATTGCAGAGCCTTATTTGTCATACAACCAGACAAATAATAATACTGAAATTCTTTCTGTTGAAAGACATTCTGTTAATAACGTGATTAATAATAGTACAGATGTTAATAAAAATGAGACAATGTCCAATTTTACTAGTATTGTAGGTTCAGGTGATGGTGATGTTCTGTTTAACACTTCAACTATTGTAAGCATTGATCATACAGATAACAAAGATGGTCATCAAGATGGCAATAGTGATACTGTCAGCACTTCATCCACTCAATCCATTACTCCGACTAGCAAGGATACCAGTAGTCCAGATAACAAAGATGGGCCTGAGAATGGCATTAATGATCATGATAATTCATCAAATCAATCCACTACTGTAAGCATTGAGCATACAGGAAGTTCAGATAACAAAAATGTTTCTGGAGATAGTATGCTGGCTAATATTCCATCAACTGATTCATCCATTGTAAATGCCACAGATAGTTCTTCAGGCAGTGTGATTTCATTCTATACAACATTTCTGAATCATGCATCCAGTATACAAAAAGCCTACATGGTGATTGCAGTTTGCTGCCTCATTGTTTCACTGCCCTTCTTCTGGTTTTTCTGTTCTGGTCCTCGCTTTCTAATAGCTGGTCAGCGAGCTGCTGTCAGTGCTGGTGTTGGCAGAGAATCATCTGATGAGAAGCTTCTGTTTCGTTTTATATTCTTGACCGGTCTGTTTCTTTTCTTCTTCTTTTATAAAGGGTTGGAGGAGGGTTACGGTGGATACATTTATGCTTTTGCTAAAAAAACTGATGTGAACTTTACTTCACAGAATGCTAGCTACATCAATGCAGCGTTTTGGGGTGCTTTTGCACTGGGTCGCCTTCTGGCTATTTGCTTTGCTCTTTGTATGCGACCGATGTTCATGCTCGCCCCAGACTTGCTTGGGGTGCTCCTGTCAGGAATTCTACTAGTTGTATTAGGCGACTCTAATGCAGGGGTTTTATGGTTTGCCATCATACTTTTGGGATTCTCCATGGCATCTATTTTCCCAACCACTATTGCATTTGCTGATCGGTACATACTCCTGACTGGTAAAGCCATGGCGTCATTTGTAGTCGCAACGTGTCTGGGCAGCATCGCCATACCCTGGCTATTGGGGCTGTTGTTCCATCAGAAAGAAGGTGTGGATGTTCTGATGAAAGTGATGGTCACGCTTTCTATCATATTACCTGTTATGTATATCGGCATGCAGATCATGGCCTCTCGTGAGGGAGAACGTACGAACTCTCGAATTCCTGATGACAGTGCAGAGCAGCTGCTGAGCGCCATCGAAGAAGAGGTCATTGAGCTTGAAAAGATGGCTTCCAAGAACAACAATCCTAAAAAAGGACGTGTTAAAAGGGTCAGCAACAAATACAAGCTGTCGCAGACCATACGCGAATTGAAGAAAGATGTTAAAAATGATTAACAGATTATCATTATATATTTGTTTTACGTGTTTGTTACACATCTCGTATGTAAACAGATTCATTGAATTTGCAAAGGATAACTATTTCTTTCTTATGCCTATGTTTTCTGTCATAAGATGGCAGTGTTACAATGATGTACAATGAGTTACTCCACCTCATTGTACTGATTCTAGTAACTCTACTCAATATGCAACCCAAGCATATTTTCATTTTACAATATTACTCATCACCATCACCCCCAAATCCAACTTAGGTGATCTAGTCCAGATTAAACAATTTTGGCAATGGAAAATTGCAGATTATAAAATAAAAAAAGTTGATAATTTTATAATATCCGTCCCAATGAAAAACAAGTATTATTTAGATTATGGTTTCACAGCATACAGTTTTTAACTGGCCATGTTTATTATCTCATTGAAAATGCATTTTAGAATAATACATATCAAAAGTTTTGGAAAAGTGTTCTTCCATAGTCACACACAGGATAATTCCTTATTTTAATATTTAGAAATAACAGGTTATTTTGTAATTAAATCGAGGGAGTCATCACCTGCGCATCCGTCAGATGGTCATAGCGTGTCATTATTTACAAACAAGCATGTCTACCCAAGAGTCGTTGCATTTTTAGTGTGTGTTGTTATCGTCACTTATGACTGATTTCTCGCGTGTGTGCAGGTGACGACCCTCTCGCTTTAAAATGCCAATTTCTGTTGGGTCATGAATTTTGTAATGTAATGTTACTACTTTTAAAAGGTTTGATGCAAATTATTCATATAAGCAATGAATGTGAATTTGTTACATTCAGAGGGATGTAGATATGGCTGCCACATGTACATACCGGTATATAGCTAAAAAACATCATATCTAATATTTTATTTTTGCAGAAATGTGCAATTTCATTTTTTTTTGGTGCTGATTTACAATACTCATAATAGCAGCAACAATAATGGTATTCCATTATGTAAATGTATAATAAGAATGTTACTCGTGCTGATAATACATTCATTAATTAAACAATATTATTTTTTTTTTATCTAATGAATGCCAGAGTTAGATACAGCCATATATTTACTGAATTTCTTTTCATGCTGTGTATTAAAGTTGTTGTTAACTGTATATTCGAAGGGCAGTAGTTGTCGCGCCACGCATGTCCAAGGTATATTGACTGTTGCGCCGATCAGTACAAACTGAGATGTTATAAAGCTTTAATTAGGTATTTTTTAGGTGATTAGAAGGTATCAAAGATGTCAGCGGCGGTAATTAGTGCAAGTCACGCCCAGGTCGAACCTCATACTTGTGATTTCTATTGGAAAAGCGTGAGAAAAATCAATGTTTATCAACATAAATGACGCACATGCGCAGCGCGACGACCACCGCCCTTTAATTCCAAACTGAAAACCAATTCAAAATAAAAAAATTCGAAAATCATTGTACATTATTTTTGCATGTGTTTATAACTAACATCAGTTTTTGGGTATGCTTATATTCAAGCTATTATTAATAATTTGTTTTTGTCTTTGAAACTCTTGATTCATAAATAAGATTTATGATGAGAAATTGTTTATATATACATTTCAGACAACAGCATGTTATACATTTGTTGTGCTGAAGCCAAATTGTAGTTTTGACTTGATGCGTTTCTGTTGGAGATGCGCTAGTAGATAAGAGAAATTACAGAATATTTTGTTAATTCTATAATAAATTTGGTGGTACATAGTTACTGATTAGTTTTATGATTGCATTTGAGTTTAAGGATTGTGTTTCATAATATATAAATCTTCTTTTTAGAAACAATTTGGATCTTGACTGCATCAATTTGTGGAAATCTTTTTGAAGATCATCAAAATTATGGTACACTTGCTAGAATATTTTTTAATGTTATTTTTATTCAAATAAACATATTATAAGTACTGTTATTAATGTGATCTCTGTGAACTATGTATAAAAGACCATGTCAGTTTTATTGCCATGATTATAGCTTATATACAAGGACATCTGGTCATTCATTTGGTTCAAAGTTAGCACAAAGATGAGTCATTTTTTCATTTTATGACAATTGACTAACTGGAGGCCATTTTTGTCCACAAAGACCAACAATTTTGACAGGTCTTCAATCATTTCTCAGGCATGCCTTGATCTATTACATTCTAATGGTTTGATTTAAAATGATTGGCCGTCAGTTTGTTAGTCCCCGTTCAGTCGTATCTAAAACTTGGGACTTATGGATTGACCTCTTTGAGTCTTTACATGCATGCACGTGTTCGGGCCTGTATCTGGACCAATTACATTCAAACTTCACACATGCATCATATTATACATGCACATTAAGTTGTTTCATGATCTGTGTCAAGATGGCCAAATGGCAGCCATTTTTGTAATGAAAAATACATCAAAATAAACCATTTCTCGGCTGTTAACAGATGGATTTTGTTCAAACTTGGTATATACATTGGACATTATGGGACCTTGATGCATGTTGACGCAAATTTTTCAGATAAAATTCAAAACGACTGGTGACCATTTTGTTTTAATGAATGTGGTTCTAGTGCCATATCTCTGACTTGCTTTGACTGATTATCTTCAAATTTTAAACATTCATTATACGTCATCTCGTAGATATACAGATATATTGGTTTTACGATCCAATTCAAAATGGAAGAATGGTGGCCATTTAGTGCTAAAACAATCATCAAAAATCTGGAACTGGATCTCGGTAGTGTATGAATGGATTTCGTTCAAACTTGGTACATACATTAGACATTATGGGTCCCTGATGCATGTCATTTTGATTCAGATCAGATTCATATTGGGTGACTGGGGGCCATTTTTTTAATCGTATTATTATACAGATGTATTGGTTTGACGACCCGATTGAAAAGGGCCAACCAGTAGCTATTTTATTTTAATTTTTGCTATTCAATAGCAAAATCTTGCGATATACAAGTACTTGTACTATATTGCTATAAACAAAATTATATAACTTAGGTTTGATAACTAACTAGGACTGTGCTATGCTTTGCTGGAATCGGCATACTGGTCCTGCAAAACATTCCTCATAAACCCTAGCAACTGGCTGCTTGAGTAGTGGAATAGCAGTTCTCTCATTTACTGATCACTGTGGTTTTCCACACTAGTACATGTTACTATGAAGACTAAACTTGATTTTATGATGAAAAAAACCTGAATTCAATGCAACTTTTATTTTTAACCCTCTCCTCTCACACTCAATTTATGGGACCATGTCGAATTACTACATAGTTTGGTCAGAGTTGTGCGTTTGTTTTTATTATTATTGTAGAAGCAAAAAACGGATGTTTGTCAATTATGCGAGGGGAAGCAAAACAAAGCTGTGCACTAACGCTGATTTGCCAATGGGTTGAACATACAGTTACCCTTGTGTACAAGTTACATACAGAGAAAGATGTCTCTGGTGTGTATATACCGTATTATACATCAGATCAGAACACTAGCTGACTGGCTTTTCAGTCTGGTGAGATTAAGTTTTGTAACTTTGTCGCCCGGTTGTCCACCTATTTCTAGCAGTAGGTTATACAATAACAGTCAGTCAATTATTAAACTACAGTTGCTACAATATGCTCGAAAAATAGATATTGAATCACACACACACACAAATTGTTTGACAGAAAGGAGGTACTTTAATACAAAACTCGGTCAGAACATAGGCTTAAAAGTACCCCAGACTACAGAGGGCATTAAGTAATTACTGAAATTGACTAAATTTACAAAACAAAAAGTGTTCGGGACGACGTCAAAAGATCGATGTCTGATAAAAAACTTATTTCCTTTAGTTTGGGGGTGGGGGGTTTTGACCTCAAAAAGTTTCCATCCTACAAAAACGATTTTATTTTTTAATGAAGTCCAAAAAATCTTGGAGTATTTGTAGTTCTATCCAATCCTGGACAGAAATAACCGAAAAGGGAAAAAAAACAGAAAAATGGTTTGGTTCGAGTGTAAATCTGTGTGTAAAAATGTGCATTTGTAAACTCTCTTTACACCCACCCAACAACCAACTGCTATGCAATACTACTGTCCGATTATCAATTTGTATTTAATAGTGAATGTAGTCTGACGCCATGACCAATATTTATCAATTAAGTTTCAGTGGGGGGTAGGGGGGTTTGGAAAAAAACTAAAGGAATTAAGTTTTTTTATCTGACATCGATCTTTTGACGTCGTCCCTTACAATTCAGAAAAGAGGTGTGGGAAAATAAAATTACAAAAAAATGGGGAAGTGGTGGGAGGATTGAAAAATATAAGACAGCCGGGAAAACAAAAATACTGAAGCAGACTGAGAATTTGCTGCCACTAGGTGGCGCTATATACTGGTGGCTGCACTGCAACAGAGAAAAACTGAACAGGCAAATCTATATATGTGCAGCAATTAACCAAATTTATACTGAAAACAAATTTAACACAATTGATACAATGTGCTAGAAAAATAGATAACTGAATCACAAACACATACAAACTAGGCCTGAACATAGGCTTAAAAGTACCCCAGACCAAGGCGGAGCTGCCAAACAACTTGAAAGTGATTGGTATGTAAGGACAATGTAAAATTGTGAAAATACAAAGCAAACACTGACAAGAAAACAAAGAAAAAAAAATAATTAAAGGCAAAAATGAAAAGCTGAACTAGGCACTGAATTAACTAGTCATAAAACTAGTCATGGCAAAAGTGATGTGAAAACGCTCTGTCGCTGGAATGCTCATGTACTCCTTGTAAACCATTGAGCGCCAATCACCCCCCCCCCCGGGGGGGGGGCTACTTCCACATTTAGTGGGCAAGGGTAAGCAGCCCACCCCTCGTAAACCATACTCGCTTCTAAACCATTTTTTCTATTTATATACCCACTTCTAAACACGAGTGTTTTCAGTTAATAAAACAACACCCAGCTCACAACTTCCGCAACCAGTGAGCGCATCCGGGCGATGCATTGTATTCAGCCTTTTCCGGTATATTTGGCTTTGAATATAA